CTGTACAACCACTTCGCCTCAATATTTCAATATTAAATAGTGTTTGCATTTTGTCTTTTACAGTCGGTTTCACAAAACTTTTGCCAAAATGTTCCTAACTTCGTTCCGAAGTTCGCAAAGTTCGTTTCGAAGTTCACAAGTTCAACAGTGAAATTCACAAGCCGGTTTGTAAAAAGACCTTTGATTCTGCCTCGTACCCAGGCGTCTCTTTGTAAAAAAACAGCGATGCGCATATGACGAGTTTACATGAAGTATTGTACACGCGTAAAAATTGATCAGGTTGTTGCAACATTGTTCGCTGAACAACGTTGCAACAATGAGGTTATCATGGCTGAACAACGTTGTTCAAGCGACAATCGTTAACAACATTGTTCCAACAACTTGTTCACGCTTGATGAACGAACAATGGTTGTTGCAACATGATGGAACAAACGTCAACAACGTTGATGAAACATGCTTGATAAATGTTGTCAGAACAATGTTGTTCAGCGTTGTTCATTCATCAGGCGTCAACAATATTGTTTGAACAAGCGTGAACAACATTGATGAAAGAACAAGTTGTTTTTAGTTGTTCGAACAACCGTGAACAGCATTGTTATAAATAGGCGGTAAAATAATGATTTGAACAACACGAAAACTTGTTTTTATTGGTTGTTTCGAAATCGCTGGGATGCAAAACGGACGAATATCACGAGAGCAAGAAATCAAACGGGCTTTTACAGCAAAATAAATGTCATTTAAACTTTGTGGTTTTTTTCTGAAGATTGAGGGGAAAATACTGAAGAAAATAACTTGGTAAGTGTCTTGTTTTGAGATAAGGTTAGTTGTAAAAGCTTAAAACAACCCGACCTTTTGATTTTAGTCATTTTCATAGTGCACGACGAAGAAATGCACACGCACATTTAAACTTTATAGTACTTTTATATAGGCATTGCATTTTGATATTTTTCTCTATATTTTCAGTATATATGAAACACGAAACCGCGGTCATACTGTAATAAAAGCCGTAATATAAACAAAACATTTAATTCTCAAAATATTGTTTAAATTTTTCCTATTACACTCTAAATTTCTGTCAGAGTCTTTTTAACTTTGAAATTTGAATATGTCAAAAACGCTATCATATCATATGTCCTCCGCTCCTTCCGAATCTGTCCCTATTGTTGTTTGTAATTAATTTAAGTTTGATTACTGCTATATATAAACAATTCCTATTGTGTTTTAACAAGGTCAACCAAATACTTTATCAGTTTACACACCAAGAATGATGTATTTACTGCATATAATATGTGATGGATAGATTATAAATAGGTAGGTAAGAGTGCATACAGTTAAATAATTAGCCATTTCTCATATTTCCTTTTATTTCCTGGTTAAGCAGGTGACTATAATTGTCATGGAAGGTATATGAAGGAGGTAGCTATGATTTTATCACATGGCTATGGGGGATAATTATGACCATTATTATGCTCACATGTCGCCCTATGTAAAGGAATCCAAGAGGGTGTCGGATTCCGGATCCTGGCTCGTGGATTCCGGATCCTGATCCGTGGATTCCGGATCCTGAACATTGGATTTCGGATTCCGTCTTAATAATAGTCAGTGGATTCCTTGACTAATATTTACTTGGAAACACCACGTAAATTTATTACTGCAAAGCTTTTGATCCGTAAGCCCGGATCTTCATCAGTGCTAATAATATGTTTACATAATATTAGCACTGATGAAGATCCGGGCTTACGGATCGAAAGCTTTGCAGTAATAAATTTACGTGGTGTTTCCACAAACAAAACTATTATATTTTTCGCTATGTAAACATACAAAGAACTTATTAATATTTACTTATTATAAAGATTTCAACAACTAACCTGTATAACATCGTCAAAATAAGGCTTTATTATATTTTGTAAGATTAGAGGACCTAAAACTGCTAAAGACTGATGTAAACATACATGCGATAATCTTATACATGTACACCAGCAACATTTAAACACTTTTAAAAAACGAAACATGATATTAGAGCTTATTACATCAACATAGTAACAAGAAACACTAAATGTCAGTATTACGAAGCATTTTTCATCATTTGGTAGTTCTGTTACCTATCGCAGTATAAAAAGAATAGTCCTTCCTAACGAACCCAGTCCCTCAAGTCTTATTTAATGGTCCTGTTTCTTGTGGTTCAGCAAACACTCTCTCCTGCTCCTCCTTTTCTTCTTCATCTTCACTTTCATCATCCCCGTTAACAAGCCTACTCAACCGGATGTCTTCGTTGGGAGATAAAATAACATTTCAACTGTCTTCAAGTAAGAAATTGTCCACATTTGCTAAGATGAAGTTCGGAGAGTTTTCCATTGATATGTCACCACAAGTGTAAATCATTGGATCTGTTGTTTGATTAAGCCACTGAAATTTTACAGCGTTGCTCATGCATGTATTTTCTAGTAACCAATTGGACATAAATATTTTGCATCAGCACGGCAAGTCGGTAGGGGGACATTTCTCTCCTACGATTATGTCTAACTACAATTACATCATCTTTTAAATAGATCACACGCACTCTTACAGTACGTTGTCTGTGCTTTGCCCTCCATGTGCACCATCGACAACAAAACACGCAGTTGTTACATCGGGTATGTCTGATGGATTTGAGATGACTTGCGGACGCATATACTCAAGGTGTACGGCAAGGTACCTCTCTGTTAATTCTTTAGTCTTTGAGCGAACATTTGTTTGTCGAACTCCTCTCCATGTTCTTGGATAAAATCTTTCATCACTGTGCTTTTTTTTCGTTTGTCTTCTTTGGCATCCCCACTTCCTTTTTGTGTGGAAGATTGTTTGCTGGCCCTGCCAGACAAATTTGGTGGTTCTTCGTTAATAATCTTCTCGGGATAAAACGAATATGAGCTAGTAAAGTAGCTGAAATGTTTCTGGTAAATCCAAAGCATGCTATCTTCAACACAGCGAGCTCGCTTGTATGCGCATTCTGCAACGCATACCTTTAAAGAAACTTTCTACGTTTAATGTTGTCAGGCTTGTGAAGCGAATCTTATTGGCCAATTCCTCATGACTAATCTCCATCAGCGTGCTTAGCTAGTAGACCGGTGTGGGAGTCTAAGACAATTTCAAAAGATCGTCTCGTTGTTCGCGGTATAACAGTGTCTGGGCCGTTTGTATTTAACTTCCCTGTCCTAACTCTAGCTTCGTCCTCTAGATTAGCAAAAAAGGTAACAACTTCCCGTACAATTCTAAGGTGATCGTTGTTTGTTATGGACAACTCCTACTGTTTGCTTTTTTATCAAGCCTAAACAGATTTGCGTATTTAGCCATTTCTTGTTGGAGTGGAATCAGCCCTACTACTGAGTGACAATGATCCTTCGACGTCCTCATCCATAACAAGCACTTTTAAAACGCCTGGGTACTGAGTACACTCCTTTTCAAGCTTTTTAATAATTCTAGTTCACTTCTAGCTTCATATTAAAGATGACGGCAAAAACAACAATAATCGGTTATTTATATCATTACTGTATGTACTATTACTAAATTATACCTGAGAACAACGGCAGCGCTAAATATTTATGATATTTAAATGTCAAAAGGATATAAAAGGGACGATACTGAGGGTGGAAAAAAAGGGGGGTATGGGTCACGTTTCACAACAAAAACAAAAGCCGTTTTACCAATTCACGTGTCTTAAAAAAGCAATTTCACATTTCACGGAAATTCTAATGGTTTGAGTGACGAGTACTTCCGACGATCTCAGAAAGGCCTCAGAAATTTTTACTTTGTGCAATCGAGTGAGATCGATCATATAAATTATTATAGCATATTATGTCTATTATGACTATTCTAAAATAGATAGAAATAAACAAAGTAAAATCACAGTTCACAAAACAGACATCCTTAATTCTCATTTCACAGAGCATTTTTATCGACAATCACGCCTCACGGCTGTAGAACAAATCACATCTCACGACACTAAAGTCAAGCATTTCACATTTCGCGCGAACAAATATTGACCATTCACGGCTCACGAAAATACCCTTTCCCACCCTCGATACTCGCCTATTCCACTCATCACTTTTCTCTCTCTTTGTTTCTTATTTTTTCCCATTTCCTAACTTTTTCATTGAGTGATATTTTATAAATATATTTCAATTCGACTCAATATCTTGGCAAAAATAATAGAAAACGATCAGTGTTTCAAACGTACCAGTAATTCGACTAAAGATTCGACTATTTTGGCGAGGTAGTCAACAAATTTGCGCGCTCCTGTCGCACCCACGCACATAATTTAGATACATGTATTGCATGAATTTAATGAGATCACGTACCGTACGTTAAGTTTTAATGTGTCACACTACAAAACCATTATATTTTATAAAGTATGAAAGCTGGATTCCGTATTCCATGATTAAAATAATGGATTCCGGATCCGAGTCAATGGATTCCGGATTCCATGTCATGGATTCCGGATTCTGAAGTGCAAATTTTTGTTGGATTCCGGAATCCGGATTCCTTTACATAGGGAGA